TGTGTGTGTGTGTGTGTGTGATCAGCCCGTATGAGCAGCGCATATGTGTTGGGTTTCAATAGAGAAATACGTTAAATTGGACAGACGGTTGTGAAAATGGTAATTTCAACTACCACAAATGATTCAAATGAAAATATAAAGACACACAATACGAGCCAGCTCACAATCAACGATAAAGATGAACGAAAAAATGTCACGTGGTTCCCCCCCCCCCCCCNCCCGCCCCCGTCCCCCCGGGAGGATGACATAAATTATGACGAACAGCCGGTGTGCATCAAAACGCTTTCAAGAGGGAATTCACCTGAAGGAGAATTTGCATTTTACGACAGTCCTGATCGTGAAAAAACCGCTGGAGAAAAAAATACAATGCTAAAACTGAATCAGATCAGCAAGATCCCGCCGCAAAATGAACAATTAAATCACTTTCGCCGGTTATCCAGTCGAAAATCAAACTTTACTACTTTAGTAGTATATTCTGTGGTGTTGAATTTCATTCGGTGCTGGTTATGGTGAAATCCAATGGGATAAAACTTGAAAAAGGATGACCTTTTCGATTTGACCGGTTGATTATTGGTAATTCCATGATGGGTAGAAGAATTGAAAAGATCAATTTACGGTTACAGAGGGAAAACATAGATCGAAAACATGAATGACTGGATGAGTCAACTAGCTGGGGTTTTGGAATTCGTAATTAAAGGCACAATATTCGTTAGAAGGGTTTGATAGATATTTAAAGCTCAACAACATCATCGAGAATCATTGAGATGCCCGATCGATCAGAATTTCAGTGAAAAAGGGGGAGGATGGTACCTCATTGCCGGTTATTACGACTGGCAGTGGCTGAACGAAGTAGTCTTTTTATCCTCAGAAACGCTGAATTGCTCAAATTGACGGAACGACAAAGCTATGAGGTGTTTTTGTTCAGAGTCCAATCTGTGCACTCTATCAGTCGTCGATTGGGTCAAAAGAGACCGTAGCGTTCAGCGAGTCGATGCATAGTAAGTTACGTAATCCAATTCTGTGCGCACAAATGTTTCTGACACAATCAGTCAAACTGCAGTGGAATTGACAGTAACACCTAGCGTGATAGTCTGTTGGTTTGATACATTTGGGCTGCTGGTATTCGAACCACGTATACAGTGCGTTCTGGTAAAAGTTCCTTGAATGACGAAATCGAACTACATTATTATTATTATTATTATCATTTATGTGTTTAGGTCGTTTGATTAAATTGACTCTCTCTTCAAGCCATTTTCAAGTAGTTTGATTCGCTATGTGGAGCGCAGAATTTTAAGACCAAACATGATGAAATCTGTGTGCGGTTCTGCTGAACAGATGAGCAATAAATCGATGAAGAAACAAAAGAATTAAGAAAACAATTGCAGGTAAATATCAAATAACACCCATTCAACCAACCAATCGATAGTTCATTTGCAATTTTTCTTTCAATGTACCCATTTTTATTGGGCACGTTTGGCCTAACTCACCTCAATCCCGTTCAGCCAGGGTCGATATTCGGGGCAGATGAACGCGGAGCCAGCATACGCCGCATCCACATGTAACCAAATACCATACTTTTGACAAACTTTGCCCACTTCTTCCAATCGATCGAATGAGCAACATCCTGTGGTCCCCAATGTGGCAGTGCACTGAAATATGAGAAACAGAGTCCATGGACGGATAAGACGTACATCTGATTTCTGGATGGGGTGGGGGATATATTTGGACAACCAATTCACTACCTATTTACTCATACCGTTGACACGGAACAGTATGGCAGTTCCGAAGATACAAATAAAACAATTCTGTTTGCGAGAGGAGGGGGCGGCTGATGAATACTGAGGTTGGGATAACAAAAAGCAGGGCATCCACGCGTATAAATCAATCAACACGTGTGAGAAATCCGTTGGATTCAATTACCGAAATCCGAATATTCTGCGCCAGAATTCGGATCCAAACAATCGAAAACATAAAAGGTAGACACAAGACAATCTGTTGGTCACCCAAATTTAGTAAAGATTAGTATTGATTTGTGTTCATACATACCTGTGGCCAAATTGATTGATCGATCGGTCGGTCGGTCGGTCGTTTGATCGATTGGCTGACTCTTTGAATGCCAATGGCTTGAAGACATTCGCATGTAGTACGATGTGTGAGCCGGAATCGGCCTGCCTGCCTGCTTACCTTCCTACACGCTGCTCGTTCCTGCTTTCTCCCCAGTTTGTGAACCGGCTACATTCTTGCTGTTTACAATACGCGTACCGCTTAATTCGTTGTGTGCTTATCGTCCTACTTAATTTGGGACACAACAAGTGCAGACCTTACTCTGACTGAGTACGATAGAAGGAAACAGAGGGGAAACAATCCCTGTATATAAAATTGAACTGATCCCATCCAGCTTCGCACTCACCTATGTGAGATTGCATCGACTACATGTGCGTGTATCTTTGCACTCTCTGTTTCGATCACAAGTTCAAAAGCAAATAGTCATTGTCAAGTATTTCGTAATTCTGCTTCTGTATGGATCATGATGATGATGATTATCACGGGAACCGGTGGCACAATCAGTCCGGTCCCCGGGGGTAAATTCCGTTTGGGTCTTGTCGTATTCCCCGAGGGAAATCGATTGAACCGGCAATCTTAGGGATATCATGGATTATCGTGCAACCGGGCCAGACAGAGATTTGAACCGGCCACCTTTGTGTGCACAGTTTCGAAGCGAATCAAAAGAACCTTTATGAATATGAATACACGAGTGAATGAGTCTTACCGCAGTGTGTTCCCATCGCAACCTATCAAAAAGTGTTCCGAAGCGATAAGAAATGTAATGCATTGTGACACCGGCAGTTAAAACTTTTCAGGGCCTTGCACCAAACATATCACTTATGTCTTTAGGCTAACGCAGAAGCCTAATGTGCTCAGACCTCGAATGGGATCAGTAATCCCAAACAAACGATACAACCAATAGGAATGTACGGGTAGTAGCATCTCAGGAACTAGAAACCAGAAGTCGTTACTTGGATTCAATAAAGGACAGAGGTATGGTACCTGAGTCTAAATAGAGAAAGAATAAAATGTATATATGTAGAGAGATAGAGAGATTTCATGGGAGTATTTAAAGAAGAGAACCTCACCGCAGTAAGCAAAGAGATAACCAGCATGGGCTTGTCAAGGACCATTTTACGAGTAGACTATAACCAAATATCTTTCCGATGGAACAGAACACAAAGTCTACGCCAGTTAAAATGCTTCTATCTAAAGTACAACAGAATAACTTGCTAGTGCATTCAATTCCAATGAGGAATGTTAAGAGAGGGGATGGAATATATGGTCTGTGAAGAAAACACTCTAACACAACCCCACGAGAAGAATGAACTCAAAAGATACTGTGGAAGTATAATAACGGAAGAATACTTGAGCGGTTTACGTGAATACTCACCGGATAACCACCGTGAGGAACGTTCCACTCGAAAACCGGAGAGAGAGAGAGAGAGGAATGGCTGAACCCATGCAGCTTAAGCGACAAGTGGAGAGAAGGTGGAAGGAGAAAGTATCCAAATGGATATTTTTCACATAGGTTCCAAATCACGCTTGACACAAGTCGGATAGGAAGAGAGGAAGAAGGAAAACGAGGATAGAAGATCAAAGGTCGGATCTGTTCCACACCAAACATTCAGACACAATCACGCAATCTGAATATACTGGGGTTAGGAGCATCAGATATCAGTGTTCACGGAGATCTGTTATTTTCCAAGAACGATTATGCTTCTTGCATAGAGCATCTCACCAGGTCATCGACCCAATTAGAACAGATAGTCGATTGGCGGTGGGTTGCATAGGATTAAATGTTTGATTCAATCGGAAACTCACTGATCTGATGACAATTTCATCTCTATTCCAACAAAACAACCAGGCAACTGGATATCCCAGCTTCTTGAACTGCATGATGATCAAACTAGCAAAGGGAAGAGAACATTCATAGATCACGACCACTGCTTTACGGAGAACTGACCAAGAAATGCTAGGATTCCAGCTGAAGGGTAACCCTCCATCAGTGTCAAAGTGATATGAGAGGCACTTTAAAAAAGTAGATAGACTAGAACCATGACAGGTGGAGACGATCATTCAGTGTTTATCTGTGGTTGATCACTCAGTCGAGCAAGAGAAGTAGACTTTCAAGAGTCAGCTCATTCGGCTCAACAATAACCAATATCCTTAACAAGAAGAGACACCGCCCCACAGACTATTGAATAAGCAGAAACCGAGTACTGAGGGTGTGGAGCAGAGGCCAACAGAAGTAGAAGAAGGCAGGATTGTATACAACGTCCAGCGGTACCCTAAAGTGGGTTCGAATCATGTACAGTCCAAAGCTGACTTCCGGGAAGGGATTAAGTTAAACAAACTCAAGGGAGAAGACTACCTATCGCAAGAGGTTTTCTCAACAATTGTACACATACAGGGTTCATATAGGCAGCTCTTTGTCTTACCACAGACTCACCAAAATCACCCCATAGAACAGGCATTGAGCAAGGCAACGAAATTAGAACTGGCAACTGAACAATAAAACCACTATGGGGCTGAGAGATCGGATTGAGTGTGCCCGGTGATCTTCAGTCTGTTCGCTTACAGAATCTAATTTCTACAAGCCTGTCTGTTCGATCACCCGTTAGTCCCAACAACGTTGCCGGCTGATTGGTCAGCAGTGAAAGTGGTACTAAAACACCTATGGCAGGTGCACAGTCGAGGGTGGAGAGTCTAAGTGAGCTACCTTGATTTAAGGAAAGCCTTTGACTTGGCCAACCACAGGTTACTCATTCAAAAGTTGGAAGCAATCTGGATTGAAGAGTATCGTCACGGTAGAACTATCTACGACAGTGAAGGCACAAAATCAACCCGATGAAATCAGGAACTATCGAGAACTTTAGGGACCATTTCCTTGTACAAGATATTGCGAACGGTTAAAGTAGACCTTCACTCACTGTTCTATCGGCAAGCTCGGTCACTGAGGATTATCTATCTATCTATCTAACCATATATATGTATATATATATATATATCACTGCTGGACGAAGTATTCCCGGGATATGATTAACTGCAAACGCACTATACCACTTCACCATGGATGTAAATGATAACATCCTCTATGAGCCTTTTGGTCTACTCCATCACACACCTTGTGCACAACTCTCACCGCGTAAGACATCCTGAATTCGATTCACCGAGAGCGCTCGGGGTTTCATCTCATTCCATCTAGCTTTAACGTCAATTTGATAACTGTCAGAGAATACCTGCCAGTTTAAGCCCAGCAGGAATCAGCAGCTCACAATTGCAAAACGAACCATTGGCCGCAGCCGAAGTCGCTGGATTCGACCCTGATTTTACTTTTATGTTTCTCCCCAATAGTTGATTTAAATAACACTTAAACCAGATAACTGATTTGATCATTTTATAGATCTGTAATGAAATTAATTTGGCTTGATCAGTTGATCGGTGCAGTATGATGTTTTGCGTTTGAACGATATTCAGTGAGATTGTCATGCCTGTTTCACTCGTAGACTATTACACATGGTATAAATATCTATCTATTACTGATCAACTTTATGTGATAAAAGTTTTTCTCTCAGGGTAATATGTAAACCGACCTAAAATTTCCCTACAGTGAGGGAGTGAGAAAACGATGGATCACATCGATTTTAGCATTTCAGTTTGAATAGAGCTTACGAAGAGAGAGAGAGAGAGAGAGAGAGAGAGAGAGTAAGTTTCCCCCCAGACATACGTGCTTAACCATATTGGATGAAAAGATGCCTAAAAAGAAGCGAAATTGTGATCGGGTAAGAAATACAATCTTGAACTTTGAATGCCACCCCTCGCGAAGTCAGCTGATAAGTATGAGTTAGTTATTCTACGATTGTTTTAATCGTTGATTCATTCTAGTTCCTTGAGCAGTTCGTATGCATTCCGGTTGATCTTACATCTAATTTGACAGGAGTAATGCAAACGGACGGTAGTGGCTTGGTGGTAGAAACGTCACCTTATTGTCATCCCGGAAAAAAAAGTGTGTTTGAATCCCACCACCACCACAACCGCCGAACTTTCTTTATTGTGTGTTGTATGGCAGCTCATTGATTGACCGCTCCCCATGTTCTGAAGATTGTATCACTGCGTATTCAATGAAATGGAAGTAAAAGTGAAAGAGACAAAAATACAGTGACGATGGCTCGGCTCGGTGAACGAGCATTGTTGATGGTGATACGTATTGAAGTCCAAAATTTGACTTGAATTGAACAGAAAGAAGATCCCTCATGAAAGGATTTTCATCGTGTCTTTGATTGAGCAATTAAAATTTTTTCTAACCCAGATCAGAAGGAGACCTTCAACTCGCTTTATTTCAAAACAGAGTGATTTGCAGATACGCATGAGATGTACAAAAACGAATCCAGTGTGAATGAACAGTTGTCTGTGAAAAACCATGGCGTGAGGTAAACCAGAACGAGCAGTACTTCCGACTGACAGGACAATATAAGCAGACGAATGTGGAGTACAGTTTGCCTAACAAATGGTGACTGAGATACAAGAGTTGAAAGAACCCAGTCGGCTCCGATGTATTTGGCATCATGTGACTGGTCTGTCCAATCCTTTGACCTACGCATTGATTTTACTGTCTGATGTGTTCTTTGTGGGTATTTAAAGATTTATCATTGTTCTAATGGACATTTCACGTGAATGTTCGTGCGCAATGGAACAGATAACGCGAGACAGTTGAATTCAACCAAACCTGTGGTGATGATGATGATGATGATGATGATGATGATGATGATGATGATGATGATGATGATGATGATGATGATGATGATG